GGACTGAGTAAGCCCCTTTTGACAAGCTTTGTATGTTTCTGCGATTTTTTACCACAGGTCTTTTCAGCTCCTTGGCATCTCCTCTGGTTCTGCAACTTTTGCTTCATCACTCGGCGTTTTTCTTGCTGTATATTTTTCCATGCCTTTGCGGCAGCTTGGTTTTCTGTTCTGAAAATGTCACATACGAATCAGCGGATTAAAAAATATTTTGAGGACCTTGGCCTGTCCAAGCCAGGCACTGAAACACAAAAGAGGCAAAAAAAAAATTGTAACCATGTTTGGAAGTGCAGGATCTGCGATGAACAGATAACGAGGTCAGTTTCTTGTTTGCACAGTCACTTTAATCAGTTGAAGTGTTTGTTGGAAAGCAAGGTTGGTCCCACCGTAAATGAGCGGAATGAGCTATGGATAAAGCGAGAGGAGGCGCGTCTGGTTGCCAAAGGGGTTAAGGATCTGGCTGACAGTGACAGTGACAGTGACAGTGACACCATGTTGTTATCATCCACTCGTCAGCCCTTATACTCCTTCACAGATACCTACCTACCATCGGTAGGCTGTCGAAATCCTGCTGCGCAGATGACCATCGCCGAGAATGCCGGTCAGTCTGCCGCTGTAGAAGGCACGGCAACGGTCCACGACATGCGGGGAACTTCTCTGCACAGGTGCTCTAGGACTGATGCATCTGACCAGGGAACTTCTCTGTATTCGGAATCCCGGCTGACATTACTGGAGGAGATGATGGTAGTCCATTGCTTGCCATTCGAGCTTCTTGATTGCCCATTCTTCGAAAAGTTTGTGGACGAGTACGGTCGGGCTCCTCCGTCTTTGGTGAGCTGCTCAGGTGATGCAAAGGCATCTTGTGCGAGGCTGAAAATGCAGAGGGAGCGAGTGGACAGAGAACTTGCACACATCAAGCAGTCTTGGCCAACTGTAGGTTGCATGATAGAACTTCACAAATGGATCGATCGGCCAGGCCATGAGTTCAGGAACGTCATCGTCTCTTCTCCGAGTGGCAATGTTTTTTTGAAAAGCGTCGATGTAACAAGGAAGGGAAGGAGCTTAGAGGCGTACAAAGCTTTTTTGTGGGATGCAATCGATGAGGTGGGCACGGAAAATATTGTCGGCATTGTCTTGGATGATGCAGCAGTGTTTCGAGCGCTCGGCTCTGTTATCGAGGTTGAGTTCCCAAGGATCTTTAGTCTAGGATGTGTGGCTCATGGGATCTGCCTTATGCTGCACGACATCAATAATCTTCCGTTCGTCCGCGAAGTAATTCCAAAATGCCGCAAGGTCACTGACCTCCTTACAGGTAATGAAGCGGTTTCCCAGATTTTCCATCGTCAATCGAAAGGGCAGAAACTTACGACGCCGTACGAAGCTCGGGTTTCGACCAATTTCCTGATGTTGCAGTCCCAGCTTGCGCTTCGGCAAGCTATCGAGGCCACGGTATGGGATGACAAGTTCTTGGCTCTTGCACTGTCGGATGAAACTCTTCACCAGGTATGTGCCTGGGTTGGTGATGACGCCGGGTACTGGTTGCCGTTGGTCGAGGTATTGGCGGCTGTGGAGGGCCTGATGAGAGTCCTACAGTTTGTCAATCAAGGGGGCCCATCGCTGGCCAAAGTTTATCAAAAGATGCGCTCCGTGGTTTCTGATCTGTTGAAGAGCGACCGGCTTTCATGGTCGCTCAAAGAGGAAACGGAAAATATCATAATGAGAAGGTGGTGCAGAATGATGAGTCCGCTCCAGTGTGCCGCCCACTTCTTAGACCCAGAATGTTGAGCTATGGATGTTTGCCACGACAACGAGGTTCGGAAAGGGTTCGAGCTCTGGGTGTACTCGTGGTGCAAACCGGAGCAATACAATGCTGTCACAAGGGAGGTACAGATGTGGGAAGAGCAGGAGGGGGATTTAGGCATCAGCATGGCAAGGTTGGATGCTCAAAGACTATTGCCAACAAACTGGTGGCAGAAGTACGGCAAAGATTTAAAAGTCCTTCAGCCACAGGCTGTGAGGCTATTGGGCCAGGTGAGCTCTTGCAGCAGCGAAAGGTTGCGCTCACTGTACACACGTATCCACCGTTCACAAGACAATGGGTTGAACTTGAATTCAAGTGACCTGTCGGACCTTGTGTTCTGTAGGGGGAACATGAATTTCCTGCTTGATACACGGAAACGCAAACGCAAAGTGAATCATGGTGAGCTTAGAGGAAAGACGATCGATACTGTCTTCGCATCTGGTACGTCTCTTGGAAGCAGCAGTGGTACAGGGAAAACCAGCAGCCATAAGTCAGGTAATCTTTTCGAAAAAGGGGCATCAGAAGCTGCTGTTCTCGCCTCGGCCAAGAGAAGATCCGGTTCAGCAGACTCGATCAAACCTTGCCATGGTGGTCCCAGCAAGAAGGTTGAAAACGCTACGGCCCCTCTCTTGAGGCCCTCGTCAGGAGTCAATCGCGGCTTACCACGGGCGACAACTTCCGGTGTAACAGAGCAAGCGGAGACCAGCAGGGCGGGAACGCAAATTGTGAGTCGAATGCTGTCGCCTTTTCGTAGAATGGTTCTTGCGTTTCCGAGCTCGGTATGTGCACTCTTTGGTGGTGACACTGGTGAGGTCTCAGTGAGAAACAATAGTACATCAGTGGGAGCTGCAGTGTGTGTCCAGAGTGAGGTTATGGCAAGTGTTCCAAGACCTCCTGCTTCCATGGCTGTGAGAACAGGAATAACGGGAAGCCACGACAGCAAGGAGTTTCACCAAGTGATAGGAGGCGGGTTAGTGGGAGGAGAGGAGGTGCATGATTGCTGCAGCGGTGGCGACGTCACTCTGCCAGAGCTGGTTTATACAAAAGAGAGAGACTTGCAAGATGAAAGAGATGACCTGCAGGCTGATAATATCGAGGGTAAGCTATCCTGGCTGATTAGCACTGCACCCGGGAAATATATGCGCCGACTAAGGAAGGCTGAGGACGTCAAACCAGGAAAAGTAAAAAGTAAATTCACTGTGGAAGGTGCAAAAATGGCAGCCACGGCGAGGCATCGCGGTCTCGTAGACTTGAACAAGGAAGACTGTGTGCTGCAGGGAGGGAGAAGGAAGCGGAAGGAGGTTGAAATCCCAAAGACTTCCACCGTCAAAAAAGCAAAGGCCTAGCTCAGTTGGTATACCCATGAACTGCTGAAATATGGACCCGAGTTCGAATCCAGATGATATCTCAAGGCTGTTGCCCTTTTTTAAAGCAAAAAAAAAAGGAAAAAAAGAATTAAAAAAAAACAAAAAGAAGACTGGAACCCAGTGAGGAAGGTGCAGGAATGGTCGCGACGGTGGACTGCATGCCTAAAAAGACAAGAAGGAGAAGGGTTGTGCAAATGATGATATGTAGGTGAGCAGGCGTGAGAGAAAGAAGCAGGCAGGCCCTCACTTGCTAACAGATGTTATCCCCATGATAGATTGGAGCCTTGATGAACACAGCTGCCAGTGGCACTATCTCCTCCTCCTCCTCCTCCTCCTCCTCCTCCTCCTCCTCTTTCCTTCTTCTTCTTCTTCTTCTTCTTCTTCTTCTTCTTCTTCTTCTTCTTCTTGTCCTCCTCCTCCTCCTCCTTCTCCTTCTTCTCCTCCTCCGCCGCCGCCTCCATTTCATCTTCGGAATCTTCTTCTTCTCCTCCTCCTTCTCCTCCTCCTTCTTCTTATTCTTATTATCCTCCTCCTCCTCCTCCTACATTTTCATCTTCAGAATCTTCTTTTATGCTCGCCACCATCTCTTCTTTCAAGTAGTTTCTGTTGAAAACCTGCTCGATGTTTTTGGCTTTCCCTGGTGCAGTCTCCATTTTGTACCTAAGCACGAGGTCGTGAGTTAAGTTTCATATTTTGTTGGATAAGTGCCCAGGCCTTGTAAGTGGACATTTGCTCTTTATCAACAAATCTTTTGACATCGTCTCACACTTTTACTTTGCTTAGTATTCAAAATACTCAGAAGCTGCGGGGAAAGTAGGAGGGCCCATCGCTTTTAAAAGGTCCTCTTAATCTCTGGGTGTGACTGTTTCTATATCATTGTGAGAAACAGCGGGCTACATCTTCTACTTGTCCGTCTGTTAATCCGTGTATGGCTCTTTAGAGGGCTTCTGGTCGCCCTACTTCTGAACTTGTTCAACCAGTTGTTAACACGTACCACTAGGG